GATTAGAAATTAAGTGTTAACGAGCAGTTGGACAGGTGTACCTAATAAAGTGGCCGGTGAGTGTATATGAGCAGCCAAGAAACAAGAAAGACCTCTGACCTCCTTCTTTAGGTGGCAGGCGACACACCCGTCTGCACATGGCGGCGAAGGCGCACAAGTATTTCTGCAGGCTCTCGTCGGTTTTCTTGTGCAGCCGAGCCATGGCCCTGAACTTGGTCCAGTCAAAGCGCCCAAGGTTTGGGTCAAAAACGACACCAAAAGTGGAGACGACCCGGTAGAAGTCAGCCTCTTCTCTTCTGGTCCATCTGATCAAAAGGATTTCATAACAATACATTTTTATATTTCAAATTTGTATATCACAAACATTAGAACATAGATTAGATTTGTTGATTTATTAATTTCTCATCCATCATCAGTGTCATTTGACCTTTGTTGACGTTCAATCTTTGCAGCCATCTTGGGGTTAAGCGTGTCATTGAGTGTGGGGGGGAGCGGGCAGAGTGGAGCAGACAGAATCATGGGCTGCTGGGACTGAGACTGAACTTGGTGGATATGGAGGATCTGCCGGCTCTTGGTGAAGCGCTGGGAGGCTGTGATCAATCGCCTCAGTCTAGCCGTCAACACAGAGGGGGAGGGCCAGTAGGTCGTCTGGCCTTCTGTCATTGGAGCTGCATCTGGATCAAAGCCATTAAAAAAATCTATTTCAAATAATCAGAAGGCCTTATTTTCCTTTTCTTAATATATTTTAAGACATATCTGTTTCTTTTTTAAACTTGAGTATGATCTCCCAGTGGGAAGTCTTTGTTTATGAATCCCTGTGATTGAGCATAATTTCACTATGGAATAAAAAAGTAGTAAGACCCACCTCCAGGATTATCAGCGACAACCAAATCTCCAGGAGAGGAGGCGTCATCCTGTGGGACAAAATAAATACCTTTATTTAGGACAAACTGGACCATAAAATCAAAGACATTATTACGTTTCATGAATTTACAGAAATTATAGAGCAAGACTATAATTACATTTTATTAATAACTAACAAATATTTGTACAGAAAATTCTTCGGTGCAGGGTGAAACGTGGGAACATTTCTTGAGAAACCCATGACTTAAACTGACTTCAACTTTAGATCCTTACTATTGCATTTTTTTTCTTGATGTGGCCCAAATATTTAATTTTATTCACTAAACATGACATCATTTTCTACATAACATGATTGTCTTTACATTTAATAGCAATCAAATCTGAAGCAATATTTTGAAAAGGTGCATAAAGCAAAATGCAAAGAAGACACTTTATCAATAGGTTTGAAGTGATTAAATAATAATCCACTTTTGTAATTTTGTAAAAAAAAAAAATCTAAACAGAGGTAAACAACAACTGTAGTGGAAATCATGGTGAGCTCATCCTCAGCATGTCACCTCTGAAGACACTCGTCAGTAATGTAAGTTTACAATAAACCAGTTCAGACTGGAAACTGCTGTTGAGTCTTATGTTTTTAATCTTTGCCTGGTTACATGATTTTCAGTGGTTGCTCTGTTGCCCTCTATTGTACATCAAGTCTTCTTAGAAACAGATTTAAAGCAAACCTGAAACGTTTTTTTTTACCCTTTTCATTTACCAAATCCATTTCACATAAAGTCACATAAACTATCAGGGGAAATTTGACTAAACATATTTAAAAGCTAAATACGCAGACATTTATTTACTTTCCTTATAAAGCAAAACTTATTAAACACTAAATGAATAATGTAACAGGACAATGCCCCAACAAACTATTTATATTTAGTGTTTTTAAAATAATCCATATAAAGATTAAAGATCATTGGTGGTAACATCCAATCTCGTCAGTCCTGCATTGCTACAATAAAATGTGTGAACATATGCTTAATCCATTTGGTTCAGACAGTTTGATGCAACAATCTTATCAAGTACTGAGAGACTCTTCACTGTTGCAGTTTTACAGGCTTTAATCGTTTAAGTTAAAATAAAATTTCCCTTTGATTCTAGTGATCTCACCTCCATGTCATCCTTTATAAGGGCTGGAGCAGGCTTGTACTCTGGATCATCCACATCCCTGCACACACACATAAGATTATTTTTCACCGGTAGTATTGTACAGAAGTTTGACGAGGAAGTGAAACAAAATCAGCGTGTTTTTCAGGCTCCATACTGATGGTGTGTACTCACCCATCCATGAAATCGTTGCCCCTCTGCTCGGCAGCGATGGCCTTCTCGTCCGGTCGCCCCACACGCTCTAAAAAGCACAAGGTCGGGTCTGCACGGATAGTGTGGTACTTCTCATAACCTGGAGTGTGCAGAATGATAGGCAAACGGCAACATTAGCAAAGGATCAAGCATGGAGCAGGAAACATACACTAGCTGAGTAATTTCTCAGAGAAACTGAATATTTTCTGAAAACAGGTTTTAAAACTAAACTGTTGAGAAAAATAAAAAAACAATTGTTGAGAAAAATCGGACACAATGCCCTGGACTGTTGACCCTAAACCCACAAAACATAAATAGTTACAATTTTATTCAAAGTTAGACATATTCGATTTCTTACCGTGCTTGAATACACCGAGCATCAGACACTTGTCGGCAACTGCGTCCCACCACAGGGCTGGCAGCTCTGAGTGGTCCGGATCTGGCACCCAGATCTTTACCTCACTGTGGACAAAGATGAGACAAAGTTGTTGACAGATACTTTAGGAAGAGATGTTTCCATTTCTCAGAATGCTCACTCTTATTATACTTGCTGTTAAGATAGACATGTTTACTAAAAGAAACCTAAAATAGCTGTAATTTTAGCTGCTGCATCTGTAAGTTGGTAAAACAATCTATTACATCACATAAATGCTTTTGCTGTTAGCAAACTAAACGAAAAAAAATCCTGGTTTGAATTTGATAAGCCAATTTACTGGAATTAAACTCTGACACATAAAAAAACAGATAATTTTTCACCACCAGGGGGTGCTCTATATCTTTCATACAAAACTGCTGAGTGCATGTTTCTTCTTTCAACAGGTTGATTTCACTTGTGAATAAGCACATGTGCTACAGCCAGTTTAAACTAGTTCTTCCACCTTAAATGAATCCTAAAATGTAGGCTCTAGGCAGCTCTATCTTAAACAATTTTTAAATAATTTTGGTTGAAACTTGTCCAGAAGCAAATGTTGCAGAAAAATTCTAGTTTCTCAGAAATCTTTCAAATTTTAAGTTAGCGTCTTAACAGGTCAAAGCTGAGCTCACCTGGAGTCAACGCCATCCAGCACCTTCTGGGCCTGACTTCCTATCACCTCTTGTTTCAGATAGTAGAGCATTCTGACCCTGAGCAGCACCCTGTGGACAGAAAACCCCCACTGGTCACAACAAAGCCCTGACCACACACAACTGCTGAGAGAGCACAACCCACTGCCACCCCCTCACTCACATGCAGAATACAATGCAAATGAGGGGAATGTGTGACAAATGAGCTGTAATCCAAAGCTTGCACTGTACAGCCATGGTTCATTAATTTTCACAGCCACACATCAGCATTCAAATCAAAAACACTTGTGAATGTTTGCTTGTTATTTTTATCAAGCAGGGTACAGTTATAAATCCTTACGCCCTCTACAAAACAGCTTTTCATACTAATTATACCTGCGTAACTCTCAATAAGAGACCATCAGATCGCCAATTCTGATCAATTAAATTAGTCAGATAGCGTATCACCTACAGAAAGGCTCTGAGGACTGAATGAAAAGACAAGTGCCTCTCTGCAGAAGTCGTGTGGTTGTACTCAGGCAGCAGATGAAGGCTGGGAAGCCAAGGCTGACAAACGTACAGACAGCATGACTCACAGGGGAGACATTAGCTCTGTGATGCATGATCGCTCATCACAGACAGCAGCTTTTAAGTGGAGACGCGGTGAAGTGGTGGGATCTGTGGTGTGCCAAGCGGTAACATCTGCTAAGGCTTGACAATTCATTTCACTGCGAGACAATTTTATGCAAAAAAATAAGTAAATAAATAAATAAAAGAAACTTCGTACAGAATGGATTTCAAATTTCATCCTGATATCTGGTGGCAAAAATGGTGCTGAGGTTTCAGGGACTTTCAAAACAAGTTACTGGATGAAGTCACAGGTTGAATATGGAACATGTGTCAGGTCTTTTAAAATGTTTGTACAAACAAAGTACAAAAAAAATAAAAATATTATACATTTAGAAACAAAAAAAATGAGAACTATCTTGCCATATTTAACTATAGCCATGCTTGGTTACTCTTTATGGAGGAACTCTTAAAACATCATTTGTGTTGCATTTATCACTGCAAACTTTTAGACCACAGCATTCAAACCAATAAGTCAGGTGATGGGGCACATTACCTTCTATGAACAATAGAGCCAATCAAGCCTATTGTTAGGGGATGGCCCTCTTTTGCATGTGACTAACCTGTTTGTCCACCATGTGGAGGCAGTGCTTTTAAGGCTGAGTTCACCTGAAACTCATCAGACTGAAGAAGTCTCTTGGATGAGAGACGAAACGTTTCACTAAAGAAGAACCCGTCCAGAGGACCTACTGATTTTTTCTTTTTGATTTTTTCTACCTGGATTACTGAGATGCATCAGGACACTTTTAGATCTTCAGTTTCTATCAAAACCTCTGCAAAGCTTCTGCTTTTTCATTTTAAAGTATAAAATCCTTAGTATTCAATGTTTTTTTTCTCTGTTGATCCCCCTTGACTCATGGCTCCTAAGTCTTTCAGTCTGTCTGTGATGGATGCCTGAGATGTCCATTTAGAGCTGATTCTTCCCTCCCTGCTGACTGGAGCCACTCAGAAACAGCTGCTGACTCCTCAACTGGTCAGCACAACCTTATATCATTACTTTTCCAAGCCTTTGTTGGTGCATGGTGTCTGGGAGAGGAGCTTCGCCCAGAGAGGCTCCACAGAAATTTGTCAGTCTTTAGCCAAGTACAGAAACATAAATGACATGCTCTGCTGGCTTTTAGTAGGGGCAGATACAGCTCATTGTTATTTTTCTGATTGAAAACACACCAAATCCATAAAAGGTTGTTGTAGTTTCAGCTTTTACTAAAATATGCATTAAATGATCAGCTGATAGCTATACATAATAAAAAAAGCACAACCTGTTGTCACTTGGGTTGGGCAGTATTGGCAAAATAATTAATCATGATTAATTGTGGTATTTAGCCGATAATGATTAATTTGACAATTAATCCCCTGGAGTCCCTGGACACCCTTATGTCCTGGTCACATGACTAATTTAGTGGGAAAGATTTGCTCATCATAAAAAGCTGTTCCAAACTGTGTCAAAATTACAGACTTCAGGCTATACATCTAATTTTAAATTGTGTTGATAGATAAATAAATTACTGAACTTTATTTTAATGTTTGTCATATTTGAAGCAGAGAGGAGCAGCGAGCGAGTGGACTCTGCCTGGTGGCATTAATCGTATTAATCAAGTGCCACAAAGTAATCGATTAATGTTTTTCTGACGATTAATTGCACACGATACGATTATGCCCAACCCTAGTTGTCACTGTAGCAAACTAGCTAAGTCCAACATTTGCTGCCATGTTAAGGAAGCAGATAAACCCCTCACCCACAGTCCATCAGTCACATTCCATGTCCTAAGAGTCAGAATGCAAAAGTCAGCAAACTCTGCTTAATGCGTGTCCCCAGTTGCCCGGTGTGTCACATATCAGACAATCTCTGGATTCAGCAAAACTGGACAAAGAAACAATGGAGAACTTTCTATGGAAGCTGCAGGGCTCTCCATCCAATGCCCAACAACTACAAGTCTCCCCTTTGAAAAGAACCAGCCATTTAATTGGCTTTATATCCCAAATGTTTCAATAACATCTATGTTCCCCTCCCTCTGTCAGAAAATAAGAGAGATCTATGATGGCCATTAGCTGGCCTGAAGTCTCATGGAGATTCTTATCAGCCAGCTTAGTATCCATGAGATGATCGTTCGTTAATCAATCAGTAGGCTGTCAGCTCCAATAGACATTGGAGTGCTTCCTAATTACTGTGGCTTGGCAGTGCCACATTAAAATCTGAGTCACATGCAAATTGTATTTTCATTCACTTAAGCATCGTTCTATTAAATATAAATGGAGACAATCACTGTTAGGAGAGAATAATGACCACCTGCCACCTGCTATAATGGCTGAATGGTTTGAAGACAGTGAGGAGAACAAACACATTCTTACAGACGAGAAAAAGAAACAACCAAACCACCATTATGTGCACAGGGAGCTATACACAGATATGGACAGTACATTAAAACTGTTTTATATATGTAGAAGATTCATTTACTACACCTCTGTTACCAATAAGATCATTTAATTTTAGCTACACCTGACTGGATGAACTCGTTTTATAAAATGCAAACACAAATGGTGTGCAGCTGCACAGGGAAACACCTACTTGTTGCAGTGGTGTTTCAAATGCTTCTTGTAGCCGTCGTCCTGAAGCATATGCTCTGGGTTATGTTTTCTAAGCCACTCAGCCTTGTGGATGTCAAAAGAGCTTGATTGAGTCTTCATCTTCTTACCCTTCCGGCCCCGAGGGACCGGAGCAGACAAACCTGGTGAATGAGAAGAGAGCGAGGAAAATAAGCCACAGGTGCTGTACAAAAAGTGCAGTCCTTTCCTAAAATCTTGCTTTAAGGCATGTCAGTTGCCATTAATGCTGACATATTGTTTTTAGCTACACAGACTTACCCAGGTGATTCTGCAGCTCTTTAGTGCGTCCATCCTCAGTGGGAGCAATTAGGTCCCACATAAAGCTCTTAATTTTGTCATCACCACGGTAATGAACAAGGCAGTAAGCCAGCAGGGACCTGCAGATGGACTCTACATCCCACTCAGTCAACTGCTTCTTAAAACGACCATGGTTGAGAATATCCTTCCAACGACCCCATCTGGGAAACCAAAGCCATTATGAAACTAAGTGAAACTCAGATTTTGAATTATCATTAGATTCCTTATTTACTTGTTAACACCATCTTAAACAGGCTAATAAACAACAATAAGTTAAATTTACTATCATACCCATAAACAAGCAAGTTTTTCTCCACTCTAAAGCATTCTGTGCGACCGTAGCTGTTGGGTCGATCATTTCGCCTCAGCTTAGGCTTGGTGTCGTCACTGTCACTTTCACCCTCTGAAAGTTCTGCTAACTCGTCTTTGGTGGCACTGAACGGTCTCGTCTGCTTCCTGACACGAGGAGTGTCGATCACCAAGCTGTTCTGCAGAGGGAGAGAGGAGGAAGAAGAAGATTTAACAGTGATCTTCCCGGCCTATAGCTCTGTCAAAGGAAAACTACAAGTCTACTCGCTTTGAGAGTCCCAATTATACTGTTTGCCAAGAATCTTCTCCACTGTAGAGAAGTACTTACTCTGCCATTAACCATATCCATATCAATGTCAGCCTTTTTGGCCCACTTGTCCCAGAAATTTGGGTCATCCAGAGAGATGTCTGTGCGGTTTCCGGATGCTACAAAACTAGCCTGAAAGCAGAGAATTAAAGATTTATCTGGTCAAACGTCTGGGGAATGTAGTGACTTCTTAAAAAAAATCTAGATGATAAGGTAAAAAGATCCCCCTTTCCGAGTTTTATTTACTTTAGCAAAGGTGGATCCTCGTCCCTCTGACTCAATGGTGATGGTCTTCGTCCTACGCTGCAGGATCTGGTCAATATCTTCCTCACAGAATTTGGCCCCTTCATCCTCCTCATCCATGATGGCCCCATAGGCACCACGCCGCAACAGGTCCTCAATCTCTTTCTTGGACAACTGCTGCTGTACAGCCTGAAAAGTAATGGGGCTCAGTTTATGTCAAGTATCTAAAATGTTATTTATTAAACCTAAACTTTTTTTTTTGCAAAACATATGACAATTTTTAAGGTCAACAAAAATAGACAGTTAAACGCCAACACACAGCCAAACACACACATGTTGGATTATTCAAGTTGTAACATCAACAGCTCCAAATGTAACCCCGGCATCTGTTTGGCATGCAAATATGTTCAGTTGCAACAGATGCAGAAAGCAGCTAATACCTCAACCTTCTAATAGTTCAGATAAATCTCAGGGGGACACAAACTGCAGCTCAACTTCCACCTACACACTTCACACACTGCTGACACACTCCTTCTCCAGCAGATTATACTAACAGGATCGGTTACACACTGAGAAAATTTTAGCACTGACCTGCATAATCTCTTTTTATGACATATTATTGTTTACCATCTCCTACAGTGATTCTTACTACACTGGGTATGACATTTATTTTTATTTGGGAAAAAAATATTTAAAAAAAATTAGAAGAAATACCATGTTTTGTTAATCTTTATATTGCTATTTACAAGAACAAGAGTAAAGAGTAAACAGTATTAAAAGTGGGTGACTATGTGGAGTTTAATTGAAAAAAAGTTTTTGTCTAGTGATTTGATGCTGGGACAAAACTAAAGAAGCAAATAAAAAGAAACAGACAAGACTATATTTATATAATCAGCGGACCATGTGGACAGTTGTCAGACTCACCCCTCCCCCGGTGCCTCCTCCCAGGCTATTATCTCGACCACTCATGCTCTGTAACACTGCTTTGTCCAGGCCCAACTTCAGGCTGGCGCGGTCAAACATTTCACGCTCGTATGAGTTTCTGGTGATTAGTCGATACACCTTCACTGCTTTATTCTGACCGATGCGGTGGCAGCGAGCCTGGGCCTGTCACGTGCACAAAAAAATGATTACACATGCAGTAAAGAGAGATTTTGGACCAATATCTTTTGACTTAATTTCGTTTCTGTTCTAACATAAAAGCTTGCAATAAAATTAAACAAAGCAAGCATCTTAACTAACATGTAACAAGTCACTAATCCTAAAATATTTAAGAAAAACACATCAAAACAGTGAGGTTTCAAGTCCTACCTGCAGGTCGTTCTGTGGGTTCCAGTCAGAGTCAAAGATGATGCAGGTGTCTGCAGCAGTAAGGTTGATTCCCAGGCCACCAGCTCTTGTACACAGGAGGAAAACGAAGCGGTCCGAGTCAGGCTTACTGAAGCGGTCTATAGCAGCCTGTCGCAGGTTTCCACGAACCCGGCCATCGATACGCTCATACAAGTACCTGTAACATGACACCACAGAACAAAACACCCATAAATTAAACTATCATTCCGAACAAAATGGAAACTGCCTCCAAATTTTGGTTGGTTGTAGATGTACATTCAGTGATTACGTTTGAGTTTTATTAGAATTCATCTAGTGATTCACAAAATATGTTGCTAACAGACAAACAGACGAACACACACATGCAATTACATGGTTGCCTCACATATATGCAGCAGGCAATAAACCATGTTGAATGCAGCACTTAATCTTTTGCTACAAACTTATTCAGCCTTTAAACATCTTTCAACAACCCAATTATCTATTTTTAACATAGCCATAGTGCATGTTGGCTTTGAATGCGCCACAAACTAGACATTCATTTTCCTTCCTTTCTAAACCGGAGAAACAGCACCCTCAAAAACTGTTTCTTCGAAGTCCATTCTCGTCCCCTCCCACAGTCCGACCCCCTGCCCTCCCTGGGGTAATCCACTTCCACTCAAGAGGAACCTCACAGACTCTCCTGCTTGTCTGATGTGGAGGAGCCCTGAGGGCTTCTGTAACCTGCTGCTGAACCCTGACTGAGGTCTGTGCTGTTCAGCTCCTCACATGGTTACAACAATTTCAGCTTTGCTCAAGATTCTGGCAAGAAGCCAGAGGAAAGAGTGAGAAAATAACAGACACACAAAAGCAATGAAAGGATGCAGAGAAAGACCCCAAATAGGCAAGCAAAGTCAAAAACAGTAAGGAAATATTGAAATATTTTCCAGCACTAATTTTTTCTATTATCAATATCAAATTGCAATAGACAGTGATATGACTTAAAAAATTATCTATATACGTTACATCGATGCGTGATGATGTACGTCACAGGATCAACGGCAGTGCTCAGAACTACCACTAAAATTGACTTCATCACACTAAAATGGTAGATATCTAGACATATTAGTTAATTAAGATAGCTCTAATTATTTACATATTTTTTGATCTAAGTTATTTTTACTATTTTTAACAAAAACACAAACAAAAAAACAAACTTACAAAAAAAAAAAACACACCCCTAAAAACCCTCCCATCCCTCTCCACCTATATCGGATCTGCTAACAAAACATAAATACAAATACATCTTGTATTCATGTATGTATCTGTAAAGACAAAGCACAGGTTTGTGTACAAAGAACCATTATTTGACCATTAGACAAAGTTATCTGCTGAAGTTTTTTCTACATAAGATAAAAATGGCTGCCAGATGGCTCTAATTATATTTTGACATATTTCTATACACATAGGATACACAGACAGAAGACAGAGCAGAGTGTAAAACTGTTAAGCTGACCTTAGCATTTGAAAAATAAACTGCAGGCATATCTGCAGACATTGTTACCAGCTGCTAACACTGGCCACTTGTTAAAACCCAAAGCTACAAATGTGGAGTGATCATTTCTTTATCGTATGCAAACGAACAAGTTCAAACAGTTTCTAATCTTTTGCACTTAGAATTTGGTGCTTTTTAATTATTTTCAGTAGTTGCTGACTATGTGTGATATAACTGAACAGCAGCACCTTTATATTAAATATAGTTGCACTACATTACCTTTTCTGAATGAGGTAGTCTTCCAAGATATCCAGGCAGCGCACCATTTGGGAGAAGATGAGCACCTTGTGTCCTCCTGCCTTCATCTTCGGCAGCAGTTTATCAATAAGGACCAACTTTCCAGCAGATTGCACCATCGCCTGCAGGTGGAAGTCAGCAGCAATAGGGCTGTATACTTCCCTGAAGTCCTCCAGGATCTTCTCTTCTGCCCCTAATACAGAAAAAATAAAAATAAAAATAAAAAAACACAAATATAATCAACAATACTGTATTGTACACATTTCTCTTCTATTTTCCACAACTTTATGTAATTGTATATACCCTATTGCTAAAGAAATATATATATTTTTAAATTGAAAGTTAAGGTACCTAAAACTTAATGTTTAATATCAAGTATAAGTGCAGTTGAATGGTCCAAATGCAACAAACATTTATGCCTCAATTAGCTTAAGTGAGCCAACAAAGCGTAACAAATAAACAAAACAGTGCAAAATTAATGATACAATTCAGCTCACTTCCGTCCCAGTTTACCTTTGATGAGGTAGGGGTGGTTACAGCACTTTCTTAACTCCATCATGGTGTTGACCAGGTTGGGCATATTTGACTGACCAGCTCCTTTGGCCAAGAAAGAGAAATTCTTCTCAAGGATGGCCCGGTAGTATTTCTTCTGGATGTTGGTGAGCTCAACTTCAATAATAGTTTCCTCTTTAGGAGCAAGCTTCTTCTCCACATCCTCCTTCAAACGGCGCAGCATCATGGGCTTCAGGATAGCCTGAAGTTTCTGTACCTGTGGTCAGAACAGGTCACAAGACAGTTAGGACATCCAGAATCTGCTTCTATAAGCAGCCTTCTGCACAATTAAAGAGCAAAGGTTAGTGACCTTCGTTAATTTGGATGGAATTTGGATTTAGTTTTGTGCAATTCACATTCAGACAGTGATCAAAAATAAAGGTTAAATATAAATTCCTTTTACATCAACTTAAATCAAGCAACAAGTGACATGTTCTAGTGTAACAATTTTTGAAGTCAAAATATGCCTGCATCACTTGTGATCATTTGAGAACCAGGTTTTTTTTCCCAGTGTATTTACTCTCAGTTTCATCACCTTGCAAAAACTGGAATGAATTGTATAAAAAAATTCTGATTAGGTAGCGACAACCATGTTACCTGTAGACTTTTATTTTTATTTTTACCGCCGTTTTACCAGGTAAATCCCATTGAAATCGCAGATCTCTTTTTCAAGGGAGGTCTGGGCCTGAAAGCAACTTATTGTACATATTTTTGGGGTATGGGGAAAACCGGAGTACYCAGAGGAATACCACGCAAATACAAGGAGAACATGCAAACTCCACAGAAAGACCCCAGGTCCGAACCCAGAACCTTCTGACTGWGAGGCCAGACCAGTCATCTTTCAATGCAAACTTGTTCAAGAAAATAATTAACTAATAATTAAACATATTCAATTATGAAACACAAACTTACAATTTCAGGGTCTGATTTACTTGCTTTTTAATGTAACATTGAAATACAGTACTTGTCTCACGTACAAAGTGGTGCTTACATCATAACCATGATTTTTTTTGCATACATTTTAAATTAATTTGTTTTACATCAGTTATGTTATGAGTTATAATATGTAATGAAACTGTGTCACCCAACAGCACCACAACCTTTTTACTAAGAAAAGGATTACAYGCTTCCTGTGGCTTTTAGATTTACAAACCCATGTTGAGTTCCAAATAATTTCACTTGCAGCTTCACATTCCACRTTTCTCTGTGTTGCACATCTGAGAGAAACGTTTAAATTTCAAACTTTTTCTCTGCTTTGACACATGATTGGAATAAGTGAATGAATAACAGGCTTCTGCAGAACTTGAAGACATGCTGAAGAGCAGCGAAAYGACTAAAGCATTTAGGATAATGGCTCTCAAGGACCAGGATTGGGCACCAGTGCCCTATATTAAGTCTGTATTTTAGCTGTAGATTTTCTTACGGTAAAAAATATAGCCAAACACTTGCTGAAAGCATTTTTCTTTTGAGAAATGTTCAAGTACGTTGAAGAAACATATGTTATTTCTAGTGTTTAAATCACTGTGGATAGCTTAGAAAATATTAAATGGTTCTATTTAAACTGAAGTGAAATTTACAACTAAGACAAAAATAAATAAACAAACAAATAAATAAAAGCATCAATACAAAAAATGTTTCTTTTAGGAATTGTTTCATAAATTAAAAAAGTTAGCTGTTGAATAAAACCTTGAGAAATGAGTTTGACTCACTTATCCCATGCACATTTATAGCCAGTATATTTTTCTTGTTTTTGAAATATTTATTAAGAACATTTATCACATAAAAAACAAGACATATTTGTGCAAATCTGTGCGCTCACCTGCTCCTCTGTCTTGAGGTCTCCAAACTCCTGCATGAAGGTATTTTCAGAAGGGAAGCGAGCTGGTTCCAAGAAGTGGAGGAGACTGAAAAGCTCCTCAACTGTGTTCTGGAGAGGGGTGCCCGTCAACAGGACCTTGTGCTCCTTAAAAAAAAAAAGAAAAAAAAGACAAAAGTTCAAAATTCAAGTCAAAATGATTTTTGTGTGTGAGTGAACAAATATTTTTTATATATAGAATTCCATGATGGGTTTCATACCAGGTTCATGAGCTTAAAGCCCTCTAGCAACTTGCAGTTCTTGTTCTTGAGACGATGGGCCTCGTCAATAATTACGCAGCGCCACTCTATGGCGTTGAGCTCAGGACAGCCTCCCAGGATCATCTCAAATGTGGTGATAACTGCCTGGAACTTGTATGCACCTCTTATCACACGACCCTGARGAAAGAAAGTGGTGAGATGTGGACATTTTAGACAGAACAGTAATTTTATGCACAAGTGAAAGTGTCATACAACTTGAGGCATTATTTTTATGTTAAAAATGTTTCAAATCTTTTAGATGCTTTGGTTTATGGAGAAAGTGCATTGTTATTAAAAATACCTAACAGTGTGAATATCTGYGCAAATCTTGTTTGTTGATGTTTCAGGTTCATTTTTTCTAAATATGGACATCATAAACCCATCAATTTGCAGCTATTTATGTCAAAAACCTGTATTTTTCTATTAAAAATTGACAGAAAACACACCTTTTCTTAGGAAACTATTAGTGACAGAGCATATGCATTAGCTCCTGCTCATCTATCTTTTTGAGGAGGCTGAGCATTTCCATGCCTCTCCATTTGTATCTATTGCCTTGACAACAGTCCTCGAGGGATACTCAGTTATTCTGTAACCCAGCCTCCCCCCCCACAGCCAGCCAGTCAAAAGACTGCTGTGGAGGAGCCACTCGTTCAGATATGCCTGAGCAGCGCTGACAGAACGCTCTCCTTCGGGAGTGGTGTGACATCAGAGGCTGTGTTAGAGACAGTCTGGTGGCGGCTCCGCTCTGTTCTCACCTTAATTCCTGCTACGGTTCGCCTGAACACTAAGAGCTCCTAAGTGCCTGTTGCAAAACATCACATGGCCTGCCAACCACAGACCGCCTCTGTTCAAGGCTCACTAACTGCCTCTCAGCCTATTTGTTGTAAAGCAAGCGCCCCCTGCCAGCTTACTATTACAAACCATTAACTCATTAAAATCTTCTCACTCCAAACACAATGTGAACAATCTTCATCTTCAAGAGAAAAAGAAAATACTTCATTGACAAAGTTGCCTTCTTTTTAATTTCTGAAACTGAACTTCATAAAATATCCAAATGAATACAAAGACTTAAAACCAATAAAGCCACAGAAATTCTGAACTTTTCTACCAATCCATTCTGAAAGAAGCTGAAACATTTCATCCAGCAGAGATATTGTAGCCTTACATTTCCCCTATTTTTTTCTGCCCTAAGGTAACCGAGTCTGTGCATTAGTTACAAAAATGTTAAATGTATTTGGATTCATGTTGCATATGGTAATCACGTTCTGCCAACCATTTTAATATATGACTCCTAACGTCGTAGGCAGACCTCCTCTTCTGAATCATATAATTGCATTACTCAGAGAATTTTGCGTCGCTGACACACTGCTGCTGTTTTCAAAAAGCACTGTGATTACTTTAATCAAAGTGAATCATTGCTTTCCAGCTTGAAGGCAAGCACAGCACTGCTCTTTGGCTGCCTGCTTTTAAAAAGGTAAAGATTAGAAGTATTACAGTTAACTACAAGGTCTCTGAATCCTCATAATTTTWGTTAAATAAGTGGTACAAAGATATATATGATGCCCTTTTTTTTACAAAGCTAACTTTTGACGGCTTATATAAGAAACCTTTTACACCAAGCTGACAGCTTGTAGAGAGTCTGCCTCTTTCTTGTTTTGTAAGTGTGAAAAGTATAGTTGGCTCAATTTTACCCCATCATCATCATCTTTCTTGTCAATCAGGAAGAATGATCACACTCAATGGCAAAGTAATATTTTGAGCCTAAACTAAATAAAACACACAATTTAGTCACAGTGAATACCAACAACTCAAACGAACAATCAACATTTATATTTAAGCTACTCTAAAATTTTTCACTTCGTGTATGAAGTYGCTGAGGTAGCTAAAATGTCCAACGTTGCAAGGCTTCTGGGTGGATGAGATTTGCCCTGATGTTCTTAAGGCTCTGGATATTGTGAGGCTGTCTTGGTTGTCATGACTTTGTAATATTGTGTGGACATCAAGGGTAGTGCCACTGATGGTTCCCCTCTTCAAAAAAAAAAAAAAAGGGTGGAGGGTTGTTCCAATTATAGGCACATCACTCTTGAGGGGTCATGGGAGTTTGCCCATCCTGTCTGCATGTGCTTTGTGGACTTGGAGAAGGCRTTTGACTGTGTTCATTGAGGTACACTGTGGGAGGTGCTCCATGTGTTTGGGATTGTGAGTCCATTGTTACAGGTCATTCAGTCCCTATACAAGCGGTGCAAAAGTTTGGTGGATTGCTCTCCCTGCGTTGGGGGGTGAGGTTCTGCGTTAAGTGGAGGGGCTCAAGTACTTTGGGGTTTTGTTCTTACGTGAGAGAAGAATGGAGCGTGAGATTGATAGATCAGTGTGGCTTCTCCAGTRCTGCAGACTCTGTACAGGTCTGTTGTGGTGAAGAGGGAGCTGAGCTATAAGGCAATACACTCAGTTTACTGGTCAGTCTAAGTTCCTACCCTCACCCACAAACTTTGGGTGGTGACCAAAAGAACAAAATCTCAGATACAAGCAGTCAAAATGAATTTCCTCTGCAGGGTAGCTGGACTCTCCTTAGTGACAGGGTGAGAAGTTTAGTTATTCAGGAGAGACTCAAAGTAGAGCTGCTGCTCCTCAACATTGCGAGGAGCCAGTTGTGGTGATTCAGGAATCTGGTATGGGTGCCTCTTGGACGCCTCACTAGGGAGGTGCTTCAGGCATGTCCCACCGGGAGGATACCCCGGAGAACATGTGTTACACGCTGGACAGACCATGTCTCTCAACTGGCCTGGGAACACCTTGGAATTCTCCCAGAAGTGCTGGAAGAAGTGGCTGGGGAAAGAGAGGTCTGGGCCTCCCAGCTCAAGCTGCTGTCCCCATAACCCAACTCTGGAACAAACGGCAGATTTTGGATGGGGGGATGGATGGGTATGATTTATAGAGTACCATTTTACTTTTAATGGCAAAGTTTTATTTTCTTGTACATGCATGCATATGTTGTTTGTTCTAACTGACAGTAAGATTAAATCTTTGGTTAAATTTTACAAAACATAAGACACCAGATCAWTGGAGGAAGCTCTGATATTTCTGTTAATGGAGAAACACTATTTTTATAGATTTGTCACAAAGAGACCRCCATGAAAACTACCTCCTGGTTAGTACAGCTTTGGTTGCCTGGGGGAGGTRCATTCTCTCTCAGCCACAGAGATGTACAAAATTGTTCCAATGTCCTTTCACAAGCTTTTTGACGGTCTTTATAAGTTTTGWTTGACCATCTTCATAAGTTTTACTGAAACAGATGTAGAGATGGCTGTATTCTCTAACAGCTTTGGTCAGTGACCCCTTAAGTGGAGCAGAAATCAGAGAAGCATATTTCAGCCATTATTTCACATAAAAGCTTCCACAAATTCTGTCCAATCACACAATACTTGATGTATATCTTGCAAGAAAATTGTTCTGATGGAGGCAATGCTCAGGATGAGGTCTCTAGGGCAGTGCAAGAAGTAATACATGCAGTTTTTGTCAAGCAATAACTTCAGTGAGACACAGGTTTGGCACTTCTCATCAAATATAAGCCAGGCTTCGGTCTGTGTGTTGTATTCAAGAGCTATTTTCTCTTCCAGGTGCTAGTGAGGAGACAGCTGAGTGGTCTGCTGTTGCAGCTTGTTTWTGATGTTACTTTGGTGGATAGAGGCTATAAAACCTTAGCAGCTACTATGAGCACAAAATGAACCAACTCTGCTGGGTATCAGCTTTATATTTTAGATCATAATATCAATAACTACAGTACTGTAACAACAGGAAGAACATAACAAAAATAAGTGCTTGCCACAAAGGTTTTATATCCATAGTCTGCAAGCTTACTTGAAATGTGCATTTATAAAACAGCCAGCTCAGAACAAAATAATCCTCAGGCCAACTGAAAGGCTCAGTGTACACATAATAAAATTCCATTATTTATTAATTTCCCCATGGTGAGATGAGGAATGCCCATGACATTTCTGTGCTTGGAGTGCACTTACCTGTGCATCCCTGAAATACATCTCATACTGCTGCAGCATCTGCCTGCTGATCATGCTTCCATGGTAAACAATGACGTTGAGGTGGGTCCAGGTGTGAAACTCGCGCTCCCAGTTTGCAATAGTAGACAGGGGGGCAATTATTAGGAAGGGTCCTTTGATRCCAATTCGATGCATCTCTTCCAGGAACGTAATGGACTGAATGGTTTTTCCCAGGCCCATCTCATCAGCTAAGATGCAGTTGCGCCTGACGGGTGTTAGAAAATAAAAGATTTTAGGAAAAAATAAGACAGATATGTTGGTAATTCAACAAGTAGAAATAATACAACACAAATGTGTACAGGACAACATGTGTGTGAGAAGTATGCCACATGAAAAATATCTCCTTATTAGTAGAAATTGTTGAGTATTTATCATAAGATTTTCTGTTGCCTGTAACTAAACACAAGAACCTGTCGAAGGGCAAAAGGAGCAAAATAAATAAATAAATAAATAAATAAAAATCCCTAGATACTAAAAAAATAAACTGTAAACAGTGGAAGAGAAAACATCATCATCAGCAGTAATACCATACAAAAAAATTGAAGTATAACTGATTTTACTGCTCTGTGGTGTGCTCCTGAAAATCCATTTATTCAGCTGTCCAGTGGGTGGGGGTATTATATCTTGATGCTAATTGCAACGTGCAGATATTCCCACTGGCCTCTTAAGCAGCTCTCCACTTTTGATGAATCTCTGTGTAGGCATACACAAGCTCCTGCGCGCTCACACATACACTAACTAATTCCCTGGGTTAATACAAGTACGCTGACACTCTACTCCAGATGCACCGTGCAGCGCTTCCTTAAGGGATCGTGGGTGAAGAGAAGCAATTGGTTTTTGCACCAGTGTGCACCTTGACAACAAATTTTACACTCCTAACCCCAATAAGAACAAATAGAACAGTATAAAAGCATGGCCCTTAAAAAGTATTCCAAATTGAAAACAACCATTTATTATACATTATTTGCAGTCTCAAAAGACACAGAAGATGCTTGAAATACACAATCATTTTGAATTACAAGATCTCCATGTTAGAAGTCACATAATATTAAAGTGATAGACTAAAACAAATTACCATGTTATTTAGCCAGCCTTTACCGGTATAAATTAGAAAATATTTAGAATTATACTATTTCAGCATTTTTCCCAAAAACATCAGCTGTGTTTGATAGAATTTGTATATCTATAAATATTGTGTCACAATCACAAAAAAGTGATGCTTAAAATCTTAAAATTTGAAATAGTTTAACACTAACCTGTTGTACCAGTTGAAAAGAAGCCAGTTGACCCCCTCAAGCTGGTAATCCCTGAGGGTGTTGCCATTCCTGTATTCCCTTGATTGTTCCCTCTTCTTCCACAGGTTGGCTGGAGGCCGTTCCTGAAGTGAAAGCATTGCAAAAGCAGATTTTATTTTTGTCTTAAGATTTATAAAGTTCTGAGGGGGAAAAATGCCTCCAATGCTGCTTCTAAACTAAAAAGATTATTGCARGTCTGAAAGAGGAATACACACATTTTATAAATAGGCAAAATAGKGTTTTCACTTTTGGTGTTTCAAATGTTTATTTTTATTGGGGTAATTTTTCAAGTACTCTTTCAGCTGTCATGAAAAGGAGTTCGAAGCTCATTTTATCAGCAACATCTTTGAGTAAATAACAATTGTAGTCATTTAAGAATAGACTCTTAAGTTTACAAGGTGTCTTGAATGAGACGTGAAGTCTTACAGGTTATGATGTGCAAAATTATGCAGATTATATATATTTTTAAGGGTATCTTTACATTAAACTAATYTTTCTTAGACTCAGATTTGCACTTACATGTGGTGCTTTTAAAAGCAATGTAGATTTAAAAAGAAATCTGCAAAATCTTTAGTTATAAAGTAAGTATAACTTAACTATGTCTACTTCAGATTCTGGCTGTGTTTACATTAAAGAAAAATAAAAATAAAAAGCACAGCTGAGGTCAGACTGCTGCTCCTCTGCAGGGGTGAAGGAAGGAAAGCAAGTGCTCACTTTGTTCTGGGCCCCCTGTTGAAAGCAAAGTAGCAACAGTCTTCATCATGCAGTAAGATTTAATGCAAGCTGGTCTTTTGAAGAAGTATGCAGACAGAGTCACAAAGTTGTAAGGAGAAGTTATAACCATGTCTGCAACACACTGTGTCAATCAAAATCACAGCAGGAAAGTAGAGAAGTGGCTGTGTTGTAAGAAAGGGAAAATGCATCCACTGACRTGTATTAAACAGGTTATTCAGTTCCAAAATAAGCAATATAGAGTTGATTCCATTTTTAAATAAAGTAAAAAAGTAGATATACTATGCCTCTCAGCTTTAAACTACTTGTTGAAACCAACAAATGTATTTAAAAAAATGATGAAATAGGAAAATAGGTTTGCAACATATTCCAACACAATTATTCRGCACAGTAATGTGCAAATATTTGACCAACAAACTTGTCAAACCAGTTTGACAACTAAGATGTGTTCTGGCATACAAAAACTACATACGYAATTGTTTCAATTATCCCACAAGTTGTAGGAGCTAAAAAGAAGACCAGAAGCAGTGACGCTTACAAGTTGTTTTTTTTTACAAAACAAGTTAAGTGAAGGTGTTAAAGTAGTGGACAGGTGGGAACATGTGGCTGGTGAAAAGCTGAAAATGAATTGTAGAGTATTGGTAGTAAAGCTTTAATGACTGAGCCTAGTGCTTTCTGGTTCTAAAATACTATAAATACAGCAAAATGTGGTGGTTAATAAAACAAATATAATATCACGCTGAAAAAAAAATGTTACTTCAACTTATATGGTCTGTTAACAGGAACTCTAAACAGAAACACTGTTTTTCCTTTCCAGACAGAAACCGTAATAAATTACTTTGCAAGTCTTTTTTATTCTTTCTTCGGCTTAGATGTGTAGTCATTGTTGGATGAGTTTAATATTGTCTCATACTTGTTCACTTAAAATGCAGAAAATACTTCTGGGTGCACGAGTTTATGAACAAACAAATATTCTGAACAGCTCTTTGAAACAGAAGCAAAAAAAACAGAAACCAGTAACGGAAAAAATAATGGCTGGCATGTCGTACCATTCTGCGCAAGTCTGGCTTAACTGCCTGCAGCTGCTCAAACTCTTCAATCTTGCTCTGATCGACGTCGTCCTTCAACTCCCAGGTGCTGTCCTCGTACGGCAGTGAGCACCACTTCACCAGGTAGTACACCACTTCCTGCAGCAGGCAGAGGAGAATGAGCACTGGAAAAGACTAGAGCGAGGCCATGTTTAGCTTTTGTAATATTATCAAAGCCTGCGAGGTAGTCTATTAGAGTGGCCTTGGGCCTTTCTAGGATTCAAAGATATCATTAGTGTGAAGCACTATAAAAAAAGGAACAAAACAGCCAAAAACAAGAGCTAAAAAAGATCCTTGGGAACAACAAACACATGCTTCTCAGGCATTATCAAAAGAGAAAAATAGATTTCCTTTACCTCTCCTGTGTCTTTGTCCTCACAATATGATACCTCCAACACTCTGTCTACCTCTACATAGTCAGGGTTAAAAGGGTCCTCTTCCATCTGAGATGAACAAAATCAGACACAAAAGAGAAGAAAAAAAATAAAACAAAATAAATGCAAGTTCCCACACACCATCTGGAATCTGAGATGAATCCCTCGACTGTATCAGCTGAGCAAGCAAATAGATTCAAATAAATGCACACGGATGTGCAAGCCCACACAAATCAAACAAGAAAGTGTTTTAAATATCTAAATAAATCTTCATTTTGCCTATGAAATGAACATATTGGTCCTAAAAGACATCAAAGTATGAAAGCACACAAGTTGGAAGAAAAATACCCTAAAATGAAAGCTGCCCACACAGAGAGAACAGTATGTTTACAGACACAGCCAGCCTTACATCTGTGAAGAAGAGCGCCCTCTGTGCTTGTTTCATCTTGAAGCGTTTGATCTTCTGCTGAATCCTCTTGTCCTTCTCGAGCTGCTGCTCTGTGGCCCACTCGCAGTGAAGGTAGGAACTGAAACACACAGAAACACACAGTAAGACAAGAAACCACACTGAAGGAAATTTCGTAACTCATTAATCGAAGGTTAGATGCAGTATTGTATTTTATRYTTTCTGATCATTTCAGCCTTAAAGTTAAAGCAGACAAAGAATTGGTGTGTGTCATCATGTGTTCTTTCTTTAGTCTAAACAAAAATGAGTTACGTTCTACGTCTGATGTAAAAGGTAACACCTCCACAGGTGTAACCAGGAACAGAAATACATTATAAGGTCAGTTCATTACTATAGTAAAAAGAAGTTGTCAGTATTGCAAAGTCTCTGCTTTAGAGCAGGGCTCCTGTGTTTTTTGTTTTGTTTTCAGCCCAAGGTCTTACACTGAGGCCTGTGTGCTGTACTGTGAACCTGATAGGAGTCAAAAGATTGAAAATAAAGTTTTTAAGAAGAAATTCAGTTGGATTCCTGTTTATTCGGGCATACCATTTTGAACAACGCATAATTTTCCTAAAGCACAACTGCTTCAACATCTGGGTCAACACCCAAAGAAAGCAAGTGATTAGGTTCATTTTCTATAAGAACTAATTTCAGTCACATCATATATATATATA